CTGGTGATCTTGGTTCTGCTAAGAGTGCTATAATGATTGTAGCAGAACCATTTTGTTGGATGAAAGATTGTTTTTATAAGAATGAAATGAAAATTGGGGTTAATGAAAAGAAAAATCAAATATCAAAAGGGGATTAATGGAAGGAAACTGACTTCCCCATGAATTTAATAGCCATTAAAGTTTTGTTTTGTTTTTGGCAATGGAATTTGGAAGATTCAGAAAGCAGCTATGTTCTGAGAAAATGGCTCAAAATGTTTTGCACTTTTTAAAGATGGTCAAAAAAGACAATACAGGATTAAAAAAATGATAAAGATGTATGACAGCATATACAGAAACCTTTAGGGAATCTCTAGAGGACAAACAAACCATAAGCAAAAGGAAAAAGGAGCAAAGGTACCAGAAAATTTATCTTTCTTATTGATTGCCTTAGGAAGAAGCTCTCCACTTTTGCTGCCATTTGTTTAATTTGAGGGTCTTAATTAGTCTTCTTCCAAAGATGCTGCCTTCTGGAAAATTCCTAAGAATTATTAGTTTTAAGTCTACTAATGGAGTGGCTGTACAGCCATCAAGAGAAGATACTTATTATTTAGCTATTATAAATCCAAGAATCATCATCTTGGAACTTTATTACCATACTAGTTGTTGAACATTATCTGCTAAACTGATTTTCATAGAGGGCAGTTTTTCTCTGATGTCTCGTCCAGAAGACTAAACATAATGATGATTGAGGATTTTATAGACAATAATGTTTTTGCAGCAAAGCAGAATCCACTACGGATGTACAACAGAATATAAGAATTTAGTCACTAGCTAGGCACAGTGGTGCATGCCTATAATAATACTTGGGAGGCTGAGGCAGGAGGATCGCAAGTTCAAAGCCAGCCTCAGCAACCTAGCAAGGCCCTACACAACTTAGCAAGACCTGTCTCAAAATAAAACATAAAAAAGGCTGGGAATGTGGCTCAGTGGATTTAACCCCTGGGTTAAATCCACAGCTTTAAAAAAACAAAACAAAAAAACCTTAGTCACTGATTGAGTACAACTTATGGACAGTGACATTTGCTAGGCCTGTAATTTATTCCCATAAAGTTTATCTTCTTACAGTTACCGTGCCATTCTTTGGATGAACACGAGTATGTTTCTTTTTTTCCTGAAATGTAGTCACTAAAATATTTTTATTAAAATTTTACTTATGTATAATTTACCCTAAGAAGGCTGAACTTTGATTAACCAGATTTCTTCCTTTAAGGTTGGATTAAAAACAAAAAACCCTCTTAAAATTGTTTAGATGCCTAAAATCTAAAGAATGCCAAAAAAACTTGTTTTTTTCCTATTATCTTTTCTTTTTTCCGTAAATGAAAGAAATCTGAAAGTTCACACAGTTAAGACATCTTTACAGTTTTATTATATCTGGGAAAGGCAAATTTATAAAGAACTGTCTGAGAAAACATGAACATAAGTCAAAATATCCAAAGGTAAGAAACAGAATATATCTGCATTCACTGAGAAAACATAATCACTATCCATTTACCATCTATGTCCAATATACCCATTTTTATATGGTTCTAAGCCACCTTTTAAATCATTTGCTGAAGAAATAAAGTGAATTAAGAATTTTATTAGCAATTTTAAGTAACAAGAATCAGATATTTCACAGCTTTGATGATGTATGTACCCAACATTGGCATTTCTTTTCTTCTTTTTTCTTTTTAATGTTTTTAGTTGTAGATGGACACAATATCTATTTTTATGTGGTGCTGAGGATCAAACCCAGTGCCTCCCACGTGCAAGGCAGGAGCTCTATGGAGTTATAGCCTCAGCACCTCTCCCCCCCACACACACACACCCTTTTTGTTTTTGGAGACAAGGGCTAAGTTGCTGAGGCAGGCCCTGAACTTTTGATTCTCCATGTCTCAGCCTCCTCAGTCATTGAAATCACACGCATGTGCCACTGCACCTGGCTGACAATGTCTTATTGTAACTACTCATCAACTATCATACATAACCTAGAACATATCTGTTAGTTATCTTGTTACTGGGACAAAATACCTGAAGTAATCAGCTTTAAAGAAGGAAAAGCATATTTAAGCTAATAGTTTCAGAGGTTTCAGCCCATCATGGTGCAGTACATTTTAGTGGAACAAGTGGCAGAGGAAGTATGTTCACCTCTTGGTGGCTGGAAAGAAAAGAGAGGAATGGGCCAGAGTCCAAACACCACCTCAGGAGAATGGTCTCAATGACTCAACTTCCTTTCACTAGGCCCTGTCTCTCCACCTTCTTTCTTCCAACAGTGCTGCAAGCTGGTGACCAAGCCTTCATTCAGCACATGGGCCCTTGGGAGACAGTTAAGATGCAAACCATAATAATATAAATCTTGGAAATGCTGGTTCTAGATTTCAACATCTCTAATAGGTTCTACTTTATCATTATTTACTGGTTTATCTCATACTTGCACCATCAAAATGCAATACATTAGGAATTGAAGACTGACCACACAGAATTTTGTTGAAGAGAGTAGAGCTATCTTCTTATATCCTTAGTTATAAAGCATTTTCATTTTAGATTTATAACCACAAATAATCAATTTCTGCATCTTCTATATTTGCCCATCACTTATACATACCTGCTTTCAGCATTTGCTACTTTTAACTTTCGAAAAAGCTTTAAGATAATTCACATACAATTCACCCATTTAAAGTACACACTCACAATCTAATTTTAGAACATCTTCATCCCTCATATAAGCTGCACCATACTCATTAGTAGTTAATTCCCTATCCAAAACCTCAACATCCCTAAAGCAATCACTAATCTTGTCTCTAGATTTGATTTTTCTGGATATTTTATAAACAGAATCAATGTTAGTGGTTTCTCATGACTGGCTTCCTTCACTTTGCATATTTTCAAGATGCTCCCATGTCACAGCATGTTTGGTATTCTATTCCTTGTCATGCTATTAATATTATGCAAATAAACCAGTTTATTTACACACCAAATTGATGGTCTCCTGAACTGTTTCCACTTGTGGGCTACTATGAATAATGCTATTAACATTCAGGTACCAGTTTTTGTATGATTGTTTGCATTTCTCCTATTACCTTAATCAATTAGGTCTACTATCAAAGTTCATGGATTAGAGTACCAAAGATAAACAATATTTATACTTCCTATAACCCACTAGGAATTACTTATCTCAACACCAGGCTTTCACTTACATCCTATAAAAAACCTATCTTGTATATATAGAATACTTGTTAAGAGGATTTTCACATATTTAAAACTTCCTTCTCTCCAGTATACCATGTTTCCTTCAGAAAGATAACCAGACATTTCCAAAATAAAGCAAGTATATATACTACTTAAAAGAGCTTCCAGAAGTAGTACCTCTTATTTATTCTGTGCAAAATACTACTCTAAGAGGAAAAATAATACAACTACAAAAGGTGATCAAATATTTCACCCTCATCATCTTCTCTAGAAGACCAACAAACTGGTTTAAATTCACTACCCTAAATTGTCATAAATAATCACATAGTCTTTAATTTACTCTGAGCCAGTCAAGTTACAGTTTGTGTTTAATTAATGCTTCCTGTTGTACCTCTATAAAAATCACTGGACAGCAAATACCTAGATTTTGACTAGGTTAAAATAAGTGGCTGATCTCTACCATCCTGATCTCTACCTGACTCTGGAATAGGCCTAGGTGCACTTGGGATGTTTTTGTAGCTTAAGTTTTGTAAGCTTATAGGACAATAATCATTTTGCTTCTTCTAATTGTATTGTAATTGGCTGATGCCTTCTGTGCAGAGTCAAGTTACATGATTCAACAATGATCACTCATTAACAAGAAGACCTGAGGGTATTCACTACCATTGAAAAACCTGATACACAATTATAACCCAGTAAATAGCAATACAAAATTGGTCAAAACTTCAGAAGATAATGGTCTAACCTTCAATTCTGGCTTGTAAAAGGAGAACTGAGAACTTAAAAAAAAAAAAAAAAAAGTACAACTTGGAAAACACGTAAGTCTACCAAACTTTGACAATGCAGGAAAGTATCCAAGCTCAAACTCTTAATGTCAGATCAACAGATTTTTAACAAATAGCTATACAGACTCACACATTCTAAAAACATTGTACCAGCAACTCCCTAGTTTCCAAATTTTCAGCATTACTTGCTAACTCCAGGCTCCAAACTCCTCTATGTTTTCCACTTCTGGAATACCTCAGGGTTCCTCTAGTATACATACTCTCAAGGTACAGCAAGCTAATAAATCTAACTTTGATTATAGGTGAGATCTTGGTGGTCTTTGGCCAAAGGGTTCCTTTCTAAACAAGACACAAAAGCTCTGCATTCATATGCAAAGATAATGAATCCTATATTCTAGACACAAAAGCTCTACATTCATATGCAAAGATAACGAATCCTATATTCTATACACATTTCCTAGTAACATTACCAATATTAATCAGTATTAATCGTGGCAATTTTATTAAGCAAATAACATTGTGTGAATCTGCATATATAAAAATTGACAGACAACCTGTCTTACTTGAAAAATTTTGTTAATCATAGAAATACTGCCTGAAAATAATTTTCCATATCTAAAAATGCATATATCTGCTGCTTTCAAAAGTTCCCCAATTTTGAGATAGTTAATTTAAAGTTAATTACTCTAGCAAACCACTGTGAAAACAAATGAAAGATTACACATGCAATATCATCTGGCACACTACTATTGTGAATAGGCTTTAAGGAAAAAAAAATGAATAGCCAAAACAAAATGTTTGCCTGAGTAGTATTTTATGCTTTTAAAAGGGAGAAAGTCACTAATAATAAACATTTCCATTTTTCATTGTTTTAAATTTTTTTATGAAGATTTTAATTAGATTCACAGTTACTAAGCAGTTTTTAAACTTAGGCTCCATGATCCTTTTGACTTCATGCTTTTAAATTGTCTATTGTTGTGTATCTTCAAATCATGACAAATTTCAAAATCCATTAAAAATAATTTTATTCAAATTATGTTTTCCAAAAGAGAGGGTTCTGTGCTAGTCGTCTTTGAAAGTTTTCATACCTAGAAAAGAAAAAAATATAATATTTTTATAATTAAAAAAAAACCTGAATTAGGATCTTTCATAATCTACAAAATAACTTATCAGAAACAATTTTATGTCATTTCTATAAAGCTAAGAAATAAGCTAATCTAGAAATTTATTATTCTTGCAAAGAGAGAGCAAGCAATGATTAAAGAATAAGAACAGTTATGATTAGCTTTTATCAGAGCCCAAATCATATAGATTTAATAACTATTCATCTTCTGCAAATTCAAGTGCTAGAAAGCACCTAAGGAAAAAAATAAACAAATCAAGACAACTCCTCCCTCATTTCAAGAACAGATGAGAATAATGTGCTCAAAGTCACATAGCTACATTGTGACAAAACTCAAACCCAGTATATTCCAGTGCTCTCCATGCCACACCAGGTACCACTTCTCAACAAAAAACTTCCTAAACATCCCCCCACTATTCGGATATTAAAAGTGAAAAGAAATACCTACAAAACAAAAACATGGGGAAACAGATTTATTAGTCATTCATACTCAGAATGCAATAAACTACCCTGATGCCCTACACATGAAGACTTTCTAAACAAAGGGGAAAAAGTTTTGATTGATATTTTAAACCTCGTATAGGGTACTTTAAATTCAAAATTCAAATGCAAATGCAAAATACACAAATATATATATGTATGTTTTAGGACCTCCCTAAAACATAGGCAATTATATCTTCTTACCTTTACAAATTCATAATGGCCAATATACAAAAGAATATTGAGGGTACAGACCATCTTGATCTGAATGCTACATTATTGGCATACAAAAACATTAATATATGTTGATGTCCACAAGAGAAAACACTTTTAAAATATTAAAGAACAAATACATTCACAGGCAAACAATATATAGTTACCAAAGCTTTAATATTAGGGATCAAAATGCCTCATACCATTTCAGAACCACATTTGCTGGAATGAACATTTCAGATGGACTCGGTGTCATCTGGGCCTGAGAGACAGCAAATGATGAAGCAAAATTGTAGAAGTTGTCCAACATCTTTTGTGTGAACTGAAAAGTTAATCATTAACAGATTAATGGGTTATATTAAATATTCTATTCATCCCTCAAGAATTTAAATTAAAATATTTCTGCATTAACTTGCCTTTAAAAACTGCAAGTTTTAAGACAGTCAAATGCTGAAAATTATGTGTAGTCACAAAAAATGACACCGGGGCATATGTTATTCATTTTGAAAGAAAAAAGGAAAAATTTTTCCTTCAAAATTTCTTATCTCCACAACTGCATCCTGTTCCCCAAACATTACTCTCCTAAATCAAAAATGTGCTCAAAGTCACATAGCTACATTTATTTCTCATAAAATACTAACCATCTCTAAGAAGTTCTTTTTTTTTTTTGACAGAAAGAACTTAAATATTAATAAAGGAGCTACAGGTTACCATTATCATAAAGAAAAGAAAGGTAGCATTATTCTATTTCCCCTGGGTTTTTTTGGTGGGGGGGGCGGGCAGAGGGGCAGACACCAGAGACTGAACTCAGAGGCTCTTAACCACTGAGCCATATCCCCAGCCGTTTTTAATATTTTATTTACAGACAGGGTCTCACTGAGTTGCTTAGGGCCTAAGTTGCTGAGGCTCCTTTTGAACTCATGATCCTCCTGCCTCAGCCTCCCAAGCTTCTGGGATTAAAGCCATGTGCCACTGTGCCCAGCTTCCCCTGTTTTCTTAACTGTCTCCTAAATGGCCAAATCTACTAATATGTCCAAGACTCCTTAGTAAAAGATAGAAGTAAATTCATTCATATTTTCTGAGAATCAAATGGGCTTAAGCACTAAACCTAATAGTAAAGAACTAAAAATAGTACCACTTTCTATTCAATCCAAAATAATCTTCCCTGCATCATTTTCTCAAATACACAAAACCAGCTATGAAAGCTCCTGCTTCTATCTCTTCTCTATACAAGAAGTGTCTTACTAGAGCTTTAAAATTTGTTGAATATGAAGGTAATACTAAAGACTCTACTATTAAGGTACTAGAATTAATATTAGAGTTCAGTAAGGTTACTAGTGAAAAGGTCACTATCAGGAAAAATATAACAGCACACCACCACACCAGTGACAAAGATTTTAAAATGTAATTTTAAAAGATTCACTTTAGAATATAAACAAAGTCTGTCCAATATCTACAAAAAATAGTAAAGGTAGTAAACCTTTGTGGAAAATATGAGACTATAATATAAGGCAGAAAAGAAAACAAAAGGACTTATGTACTATGTTCAATGGAAAGATACACCATATGTCACAGATGGGAAGAGTTAATGTGTAAAGAAAGGTAACCAATTCTCCTCAAATCAAACCAGTCATTCAACAATAATTCCAACAAGGTTTTTCATGGAACTTGACAAGGTGATACTATTTGATGAACTCAAAGCTTTTTGAATTATTACATCGAATACCTAATCTTATTTTGAGGAGTAGGAGGAAGAACTTGGCCTACCAGATATTAAGACTTACTGGCAAATAATCAAACTGGAATAATAGAAGAGAAAGCCCAGAAAAAACCTAAACAAACATGACAACATGATATATAAAGGTGCTATTATTATTCACTGGGGGTGGAGGGTGGTGGTGGCTGGGGCTAATTAGTTCTCCATAGGACAAAAAAATGAACTTAATCCCTTCAATAGATAAACACAATTCAAAAAGTAAAACCTAAAGCTTTAAACTATTAAAAGATACCTTCACATATCAGAATAGGGAGAAAACCCCATAAATCATAAAGGAAATAACTACTAAACTTTTCTACATGAAAATATATCTGTATGCAAAAGATACCATGAGCAATAGTAAAATACAAGTAACATGCTAGGAAAAAATTGCAATGTATGTTCACATAAAATGTATGTACACATAAAAGTCTTATTACAAAAAACAAAATTAAAAAGTACCAAAAGCAGCTGGATACAGCAATGCACATCTTAATCCCAGCAACTTATCAAATACAAATATGATATTAATATTTTCACCCACTTATCAAATTTTGGAAGTTTGATAAGTATTAGTGAAAATGTATAAACATTAATCAATATGGAAATTTTTTTAAATGGTTCAGTCATACAATAGTATACTATACAACAATTAAATTAGATCTATTCCAGGCATCAACATAAACAAACGCTAAAAATAATGTTAGGTAAGCAACAGCAAATGGTAGAGTACAATACTCTATAATTTCTATAGTAATGGTGAAAGAAGATAATACTAAATACAACTCTACAACAGGCCCAAAAAACAATCAATCCGTACAATAAAAACAAGTAAACAAAAAAGGGGGAACATTCTAAGATGGATGATTCCAAGACAAATTTGAAACTGATATGCTTAAATATATTGAGACACTTTATATTTAGTACGGTTTGAACCCTACTAAATATAAAGTGTCTCAATAATATAAAATGTTCCTAGTTAGAACTAGGAACACAGAAATCTATGCAAAAGAAAAAGAGGTATCTGTCAATGTAGAAAAATGAAAAATCAATTGTAATGCATTCTGCTGTCGTATATTTAAAAAAATAAAATCAATAAAAAAAAGATTTAAAAAAAGAAAAATGAAAAATCATGTAAGAAAACAAATGTAATTATCATACTGCACATGGTTTAGTTCTGAAAAATATTTACCTGTCATAATACTGAAAACTTTGAACTGTAACAAAAATCTATACTGGGAAGGTGGGATGAAAATTGTGTGTGTGTGTGTGTATACGCATGCACACTCATATTTGCATACAGAGGCACAAAAGTGAGGGAAGTAAAATAAACATGTTTCATACTGGTAAGGCAATGGAAAAAAATCTGTAACAAAAAAAAATTAATCAATAACAGATTAGCAAGTTTAATCTGATAAATGGAAGTAATAAACACCAGAAGAGAGAGATAAAAAAGGACGGTGTTGAAAGTGATTGCTTCTGAGGAACAGAATAGAAGATATAACAGAGAACAGCTGTTTTTCATATAAAACTACTGACTTTCCAAACCAAATACATGTGCCACTCTAATAAAAATTTAAATGAAATGAGAGTAAAAGTAATTAAACTAGGAACATATTTAAGCACACACTTAAATGGTACTATACAGGTACTAAAATATGGATAACTACGAGGTTAGAAGACTAGATAGATACCTGGAAGGTTAAAGGAAGAAGAGAAGCAGGGAGTAGGGGCTGCACCTTTAAATGCTTTATTTCTTTTTTAAAAAAAGAATTAGTAGCAGGTGGGAAAACTGAAAATCCATATGTAGTAGGATGAAATTTAATCCCTATCCCTGCAAAAAAAGTCAACTCAAAGTGGATCAAAGACCAAGAAATTAGACCAGAAACTCTGCACATACTAGAAGGAAATGTAGGCCTAACACTCTATCATATTGGCTCAGAAACTTAGTTCCTTAACAAGACTCCTAAAGCACAAGAAGTAAAATCAATAATCAATAAATGGGATGACATCAGACTAAAAAAGCTTCTTCACAGGAAAGGAAATAATCAATAATGTGAAGAGAAAGCCTACAAATGGGAGAAAAACATTGTTATCTGCACCTCAGATAGAGCATTAATTTTCAGGATATATAAACAACTCAAAAATCTTAGCACCAAAAAAAAAAAAAAAAAATCAAATAACCCAATCAATAAATGGGCAAAGGAACTGAACAAACACTTCACAGAAGAAATAAAAATGGCCAACAAATATATGAAAAAATGTTCAACATCTCTAGCAGTGAGAGAAATGCAAATTTTAAAGGTGCACTGAGATTCCATCTCACTCCAGTCAGAATGGCAATTACCAAGAATACAAGTAACAATAAATGGTGGCAAGGAAGTAGGGGAAAAGGTTCACTCATATATTGCTGGTGGAACTGCAAACTGGTACAACGACTATGGAAATTCCTTAAAAAACTTGGAATAGAACCACCATTTGACCCAGTTATCCCACTCCTCAGTTTATACCCAAAGGATTTAAAATGCATCAATGTTTATAGCAGCTCAATACACAATACACAATAATAGCTAAGCTAGACAGCCAACCTAGATGCCCTTCAAGAGATGAATGGAAAAGAAAATTATGGTATATATACACAATAGAGTATTATTCAGCCATAATGAAAAATGACTTTATGACATTTGCAAGTAAATGGATGAACCTGGAGACTATCATGTGAAGTGAAATAAGCCTGTCCCCAAAAAAACCAGACATTGAACATTTTTGCTGATATGTAAAAGCTAACCCACCACGAGGGGGCAGCACATGGGAAGAATAGATATTCAGTAGATTAGACAAGGGGGAATGAAGGGGATGAATAGAAGGAAAGACAGTGGAATAATCAAAAATAATTTTCCTATGTACTTACAAGAATATACCACAGTGAATCCCACCATCATGTAAATCCATTAAGCATGGGGTCCTCACTAGAATAAGATACATTCCATGCTTGTACAATTATATCAAAATGAATTCTACTGTCATGTATAACTAAAAAGAACCAATTTTTTTTTAATTTTTTTATTGTTGGTTGTTCAAAACATTACATAGTTCTTGACACATCATATTTCACACTTTGATTCAAGTGGGTTATGAACTCCCATTTTACCCCGTATACAGATTGCAGAATCACATCAGTTACACATCCATTGATTTACATACTGCCATACTAGTGTCTGTTGTATTCTGCTGCCTTTCCTATCCTCTACTATCCCCCTCCCCTCCCCTCCCCTCTTCTCTCTCTACCCCATCTACTGTAATTCATTTCTCCCCCTTGTATTATTTTCCCCTTTCCCCTCACTTCCTCTTGTATGTAATTTTGTATAACCCTGAGGGTCTCCTTCCATTTCCATGCAATTTCCCTTCTCTCTCCCTTTCCCTCCCACCTCTCATCCCAGTTTAATGTTAATCTTCTTCTCATGCTCTTCGTCCCTACTCTGTTCTTAGTTACTCTCCTTATATCAAAGAAGACATTTGGCATTTGTTTTTAGGGATTGGCTAGCTTCATTTAGCATAATCTGCTCTAATGCCATCCATTTCCCTGCAAATTCTATGATTTTGTCATTTTTTAATGCAGAGTAATACTCCATTGTGTATAAATGCCACATTTTTTTTATCCATTCGTCTACTGAAGGGCATCTAGGTTGGTTCCACAGTCTTGCTATTGTGAATTGTGCTGCTATGAACATCGATGTAGCAGTGTCCCTGTAGCATGCTCTTTTTCGGTCTTTAGGGAATAGACCGAGAAGGGGAATAGCTGGGTCAAATGGTGGTTCCATTCCCAGCTTTCCAAGAAATCTCCATACTGCTTTCCAAATTGGCTGCACCAATTTGCAGTCCCACCAGCAATGTACAAGTGTACCCTTTTCCCCACATCCTCGCCAGCACTTGTTGTTGTTTGACTTCATAATGGCTGCCAATCTTAAGAACCAATTTTTAAAAAATGAGTAGCAGTAGCAGGTACTGGATGTATGACTGAATAACACAATGCCTGCTTAGCATGCACAAGGCTCTGGGTTCAATTTCCAGCATTTAAAAAAAAAAATCAGTAGTAAGAATGACAGAATGTAAGTTAAATTTAAGGGGAAAATACAATCCACTACAAAAAGAATCTATAAAAACAGGGGTTACTTTATTTCATCTATCTCTTTGTAACTCTTTCAGAAAATGCCCGGTACACAGTGCCAGTACACAATAAATATTGGTGGAATACGTAAGTTATTCTCTGTACTTTGTGTATTTAAAATTCTTCATAATAAAATGTTTACTAGAAATAAATATGCTTTATAAAAAAGCTTAAATAATTTAAATACAGCAAAAAGTTTACTTTTCTCCAGGGAAACTTAACACTTTGGGGGTGTATTTTCCAGACATTTTTCTAAATACCATCTATGTGGGATACTATAAGTATTGTTTTAGAGCTTGCTTTCTTTGGCATGGCATTTTATTTTTTAAATAATTTACTAGAAAAAAATTATTTTCGTGAAGATTGAACCTAGGACCTCATGCATTCTAAGCAGACACTTTGACACTAAGCTATATTGCTGGCCCCTTAAAAAAAAAAAAAAGTTCTTTTGAGACAAAGATTCTGTCATTCTTAATTCAGTCCATTCTCAAAAGATTATGTGACAAATCTGCCTTTAAATTCATGATGACCACAATTGTCAAAAATGTGCCTTTGGTTCTATACAATAAACCCTAAAACTTTCCCTAGTCCATTCATCCTCTTTCTTTCCTAAAGGATATAAAGCCCTTTTAATTTAAATTTCCAGTATCTTTTCCTTTCTCTCAATTTTAGCTAGTGATCTTCCTTCTTATATCACTGAGGAAAAGAGAAGGAATCAGGAGAGAACCTGCACAAGTTATTATCACCACATCCACCAATCTCCTGCACCTGTTCCCATAATCCATTACCCTTGCTAAGGTGAACACCTCCACCTGTGCTCCTTTTCTTACTCAAGTAAGTACTTCATGGGCTGGGAATGCACCTTAGTTGTAAAGTGCTTGCCTAGCATGCACAAGACCCTGGTTCCATCCCAAGCAACTCCACCAAAAAAAAAAAAAAAAAAAAAAAAGATACTCCACTCTTTGCAATTCTCCACTCTCTCCTAAATCTCAGATTTTCCCCTCTATACATTAAGCTGAAATAAACCAGGCACACTGACAGAACTACTGTATGATCCCACTTATATGTGAAATCTAAAATAACTGAAATTGTGGAAGCAGAGAGTAGAATGATGGTTGTCAGGGGTTGAGTTGTAGAGGAAGGGAAACAGGGATACATTGTTCAAAGGGTACAAAGTTTATGTACAGCACAGAGACTATACTTAATAATGTACTCCATACTTGAAAATTATTAAGTGGTTAGATCTTAAATGTCACCACAAAAAAACTTGGTAAGTATGTGGGCTAATAGACATGTTAACTAGGCAGATTAACCTAGCTGGATTTAATCATTTTACAATGTAAACATACATCAAAACATCATCTTGTACATCATATAACCTTAATGTCAATTATAACCTTAATAAAGTGGGGAAAAGAATGAAATGTGTATTACCTGAGTGAAAGAGTCAACTGACGATACAGCAGCATTGCCTACAGGAGTCTGCTGAGCCATACTGTCCAGTGATTCCACTGAAATTCCTATCTGAGCAACAGTTGGAGTTCGGACAATATTCATGGCTCCAAACGGATGTTGGCTTCCTTCTCCTGAAAGAAATTAATGTGTGCCACATATCCCAAACTTAACTTATATTCAAATTCCTCTGGAAATAATTTAATCTCTGGTCTGTACAAAGCAAAAAGTTCTCTTATATCCAAGTTTGTCTCTTTTAATATAAATGCAAAAGGCTACTTAATTTTTTTAGCATACTAATAAAGTATAAAAGATAAAAGTTTTGCCCCAGAAAAATATTTCTTTTCTAAAACTTGCCCAAAACTATTACAGCTACACACAATAACAGAATGAGAAAAATGAGGATTAAAGATTCAATTCTGTATAATTATGTAGGAAGTATGCTTTTAAACATCTTTAGAACTAATTTTAGCATTCTGATTATTCTATTACAGAAAGATCTTTAGATTGCCATTAACCACCAATAAACAATATAGCATGTTTTACTAACTGCCATGGATCTACTCATTCAAAAGCTGATGCTGCTATCAAATAGACAATAGTGAAATTTGCAGTTTACTCATGAAAAATATTTAATTAAACTTTTCCCCTTTGTTCAAAACTATATCATTAAGTATACACCTAAGACACCACCTCCAAGTGCCAGCCAATCTCTTTAAGTGATTTTATATTACTATCTTATGTCCTCTCATTTCAGCTTTAAGAACTTAAAAACATTTTTTTAATATGGCTGGTATGCAAGCAACTACTCAGTTTTTGTTTATCTGGGAATGTCTCCATTTCTCCTTACTTTTTTTTTTTTTTTTTTTTTTGGTACTGAGGACTGAATGCAGGGGTGCTCAACCACTGAGCCATATCCCCCAGCCCTTTTTTTATATTTTATTTAGAGACAGGGTCTTTCTGAGTTGCTAAATGCCTCACTAAGTTGCTAAGGCTGGCTTTGAACTCACAATCCTCCTGCCTCAGCCTCCAAAGCCACTGGGATTACAGGTGTGTGCCACCGTGCCCAGCTCTCCTTACATTTCTGATAGTTTTGCTGGACACAGAATTCATGGTTGACAACTCTTTTCCTTTCAAAATTTTGTCATTCTATTACTGTCTAGACTTTATTTATCATCTCAAAACAGCTAAAAGGATCCTTGTATGTGATGAGTTACTTCTTTCAAGGCTTTCAAGATTCTCTCTTTACTATAATGGTTTAATTGTGTCTTTGTGTGATTTTCATCAAGACTCAATACTCATCCAGGCAGTCTACAACTCTGCCCTAGTCTCCACTTCCAGCTGTGCAGAGCCTAAAAGCCAGGCTGAGGTGCAAGCTTTGAATCTTCCTGGTTTTGTATGGAGTATGTATATAGGTCAGGGCATGTATGTGCCCTTTCAGATTCCCAAGCGTGTATCAAAAAATTTCAAAGCCCTTATTCTCCAATGCTTCTCATTCTGGCTTTCATCCCAAGCTTACTCCAACTCCTGTCCCATGCCTCGAGCAGCAGTGATTGATTTATGTCTGTAAATGTTTTTTGGCAAACATCCCAGGGTGGTCACCTTAGCACTGGAAAAATTCCTGCTAGGTAAGTTAAAGGCAAGGCAGAGAACCACCAGATACAAAAAAAAAAAAAAAATTTGATTACAATTCTTTGTAAATGAGGTCCATTTGCTCCCTGTACCCATACCAAAAATGGAGGCTTATTTTTAAGGTTACCCATAAGTTGAGGACCAGGGTATGGAACCAGGGTAATTAAACCTCAGCAACTTGGGAGACTGCAGTAGAAAGATCACAAGGTCAAGGCCAGCTTCAGCAATTTAGCCAGGCCCTAAGCAACTCAGCAAGACCCTGTCTCAAAAATAAAAAGGACTACAATATTGCTCAGTAGTTAAGTGTCCCTGGGTTAAATCCCCAGAACCCCCGCACCCCCACCAAAAAAAAAAGAGGATAACAACAACAACAACAAAAACAGCAGAGCAAGTAAAACATTCAGCATATTGTTAGAAAACAAAACACACATTATATCAAGTTCTCAACAACATTCTAAGAGTAAATGCAGCAGCTTTCTTCTTTTTTTGTGTTGGCGATTGAACCCAGGGGCACATAATGATTGTGCCATGTCCCGGGCCCTTTTTATTTTGAAACAGGGTCTCACTAAGTTGCTTGGGGACTCATAAAGTTACAAGGACTGGCTATGAACTTGTGATCCTTTTGCTTCAGTGTATCAAGCTGCAGGGATTACAGGCAAGTGCTCTCACACCCAGCTGCAGCAGCTAATTTTTAAAGACTGTTTCTCAGGGTATCCCTCCTTCTTGTAAGAGCCTAATGCAAAACATAATGCAAGAGAAGAAATCTTACAGAAAGCTAGTTTTTTAATCTCAGTATACAAAGAAAAGTAGTCATCATCATTTGCTATTTGGGTCTAATGGAACCTTTTAACAAAGAATGGTTAGAAAGGGAGTAGGTGTATAATTCAGTGGTAAAGCAAGGACTCTTGGGTTCAATCCCCAACTGCCCCTCCCCCACAAAAAAATAATGTTCAGAATACATGTTGGAAAAAAACTTTATTTGAATTTTATTAAGTATTTAAATACAGCAAAACTAGACATCCATTTCATTTTTTTTCCTTATTTTTAATTTATATAGGTGAAATGGGCATGTCTTCTAAATACTAGTACTCATTGGCCATCAGAAATGAACATGAAATATCCATCTTATAAGTTAGACCTCTAATAAGTTCTAACTTATGGTTACATCTTGTTCATTGTATGGCCTATACATTGTCAAAATGAAATACTTAAAAGTCTGAAATTTTAAAAACTGTAATGGCTCATAATTTGTTCAAGTAAGGATGACCAATCTCTGATCATAATTTACAAAATACTCTTATTTTTAGTTTATAAACATTATTTCCTTTCAATCACCTTTGTATATACACCCACTTTTAGCATTTTTCTACTTACAAACCCTATCCAGTCAAATTTAAAGCACAAATATACAAGATGAAAGAATATCAACATACATCTTTTAATACATGTTCAAGATATTGTTAGAAAATACTGCATGATAATTTCTTCTTCTTAAATGCCTAAGTACCCATCTTTTCTTTTGGTCCTTTGTTCAATAATCAATTATTTGAGTAAATTCAGATGAGATCATTCTCTGAAGATTCATAATCTGAAATTTTGTATATATGAATAACTTTACCATCATTAGTCTAGACTACATTTAGCTCTTTGGATTTGTTTTCTAATTTGTCTAATAAATGTAAAATGTATTCTGTCAGTTTTTTCTCTTTGCCATTGTGAATGAAATACAAACAGTATTAACTTCATATTCTATTTAATAAAAGTTAAAACCTGACCATAATGATGGCCTTGTCTCCTTTTACATTTCTTTAATGTTAACATAATCTTTTGACCAATGCAATATGAAATTATAGTTAATGAAATGAATAATAAAGATGCACAGACCAAATCTGGCCCACAACCAATTTTTGTGTATGACCTTGGAGCTAAGAGTGGTTCTTAAATTTTTAAAGAGTTGTTTAAAGTGGAATCATAAGCCACTGAGATAATTCAGGGGCTGTAAAACCTAAAATGCTTACTATCTGATTCTTTACAAAAAAGTCTGACAACCTCTGCTCTAAGGCAGTTCCATCATTCTTCCATTTTTATTATTTTAGCCCTTTTCCTTTTAGTATAGTTGAGAATTGGTGAGTAATGATGAAATAATTTCCTGGTTGAAACAAAGTACTTCAAGATAAAGAAGAAATAAGATCACTAATATTTCCAAATGCATCTTAGGTTTATAAAATGATCCAGTGGACCTACAGAGTAACTGCAAGATAAAATGAGGTTTTTTCCTATTAAAAAAATATAAATAAATGTTCTCTGTATTCTTTGGAAGAACTCTACAAAAGAATAAAACTCAAGAAATAACAATCCTTCTGATGGTTAAAGTGCTCAAAAGAGGAACTAAAGTTCACTGGCAGAGATAAAGTAACAGCAAAGAAATGAAGGCTAAAGACAAGTTATGGCAAAGGAAGGTAATTTAATAAACAGTAGCATTTCAATATGATTGACATATGCTATAAGTAATATAAAAACATCTTAATTATGTCTGCTTAACAGTGTACTGAATGTAAAAATCTAGAAATCATATATTTCTAAAATCTTTTGGCTTCATTTTTATTGACAGCTTGACAAGACTGAAATTCATTTTTCACTAATGCATATTCTAAGCACTGTGTGACTCTCAAAACTTTGTTACCAATAAATATCTTAGATAAAAAAAAATGGTTAAAGGGGCTGGGGATGTGGCTCAAATGGTAGTGCGCTCGCCTAGCATGCGTGAGGCACTGGGTTCGATTCTCAGCACCACATAAAAATAAAATAGAGATATTGTGTCCACTTAAAACTAAAAAATAAATTTTAAAAAAATGGTTAAAAAATGGATATAAAAAATTTGTCCATTTTGGATGTCTGAAGTGTTATTAAAGGAGCATCCACCACTGTATCATACAGAGCACAAAGTCAAAGCCATAAACAATCCCTATTTTCAAGGAGCTTATACTCTAACAAGAAGGAGTAAAAGTCACTTAATTGTTCTGAACTGGTTTTGTTATCTGGATGATTTCTAAGAGCACTGACATTATATGATTTTATATAAACATAAAAAGAACCACTTATTATTATCAGGGCTGGGGTTGTAGCTCAGTGGTAGAGTATTTGCCTAGCACATAAAGGCACTGGGTTCAATGCTTAGCACCACATAAAATAAATTAAAAAACAAAGGTATTGTGTTCATCTACAACTAAAAATATTTTTTAAAAAAACACCTATTAAACATCAACTGTGTGCCAAGCACTATTTTTCATTCTGCATACATAAATACTTTTATTAACTACATTTTACTGAATTTTCCTTTAAGGTTAAAGATCTTGGTCAAGTACACACCCCTAACTGGGTGTGGTGGCACACACTTAATAGTACCAGCTACTCTGGGAGGCTAAGGCAGAAGGATCAATTGAGCTAGGAATTTGAGACCAACCTGGAAACAAAGGAAAACACCATCTCAAAAAAAAGAAAA